AAAACACTCACCGCTGGCAAACATATTAAGAGTACTAGTAAAATTGTCACATACTCGCCATTTATCGGTCCCGCTGGTATCATTCGTTCCACCGGACGGATTGTGCGCTTAGCGAATACCGAGTTTGATACTAAGCACCCATTATTACTTGACGCCCGGCATACCCTAGTTTGTTTGTTGACCCGCAGCCTCCCCCACAAGCATTTTCATCAAGGTTTAGATTACATGCGCTCCGTTTTAAATGTGAAATATGAAATACTTGGGTTGCGTCGACTACTTCGGTCTATCGAAAGTCAATGTGTAACATGCCGTAAACGCAAAGCAAGTACCATCCAGCCAATTAAGTCCGATTTAACTGTCAAACGCCTCGGATATAGGCAACCACCCTTTGATCATACGGGTGTGGATTACTTTGGACCGCTTTACGTTCCGTTTCACAGAAGCACTGAAAAAAGATGGGGATTTCTTTCCATGTGCCTCACCACAAGGGCCGTACAACTTGAGATTGTACCATCCCTGACACTAATTCTTGTGTCATGGGCATTGAACGGCTCATTGCGCGTCGTGGTGCACCAAGCACGATCTAGTCGGATAACGGCACGAACTTCGTTGGTGCGGAAAAGGAACTACTTGCCTGCATCAAGAGCTGGAATGGCATGGCTCCGACCATTTTTGCCCACAGTGTTGCTTGTAAATTTAACCCGCCAGGCGCACCCCATCATCGCGGCTTCTGGGAGCGCCTCGTCTGAAGCGTGAGGCGCGTGCTTTACGATATACTAGGCAGTAGGCGAGTCACCGAAGAGGTGTTAGGAACAACACTCTGCTTAATTGAGCAGGCTTTGAATTCGAGACCAATCACTCCCGTTACTACTGATTCACGTGAGTTAGAAGCGTTAACCCCAAACCACTTTTTACTTGGACAACTTGCCACAAGCTCTTCTTCGCTTTTACCTGGGGAGCACTTCGACCACAAGAGAAGGTACGTGAAAGCGCAGTCATATGCAAACGCGATTTGGTCTCGTTGGCTTTCTCGATTGTGTTCCCTCGCTGAATAAGCGTGTCAAGTGGCACACTCATTCTGACTTCATTCTTAAAAAAGGCAATCTCGTGTGGGTGATTGAGCCCGATACTCCTCGTGGGTACTACCCTCTCACCCGAATCGTGAAGCTAAACTACGAACAGGATGGTTGCGCCCGATCCGCCTTTGTTAAGACCGCAACCAGTGAAGTCACTCGGCCGACCGTTAAGTTCGCTCCAGTTGTTCCTTCTTCAGGAGGGAAGATGTTGCAACGCAAAACAAGAGTATAAAAGCATATAAATCAAGACCAGATGGCCAAGCGGACTAAGTCAAACGCTAGATATAGTAGCAGTAGCCTCACATGACGTACGTTCGAGTCCCCCTCCCGCCCATGTATTATTACACTAAAAAAGGAGATCATATCCTATTTTAACTGTTTTTCGCTCTAATTCGGATTAGCTTTGATTAAGGCTGACCGTCAGAAGGAGCAATTTGTCTCAAGGACATTACCGACCGAGTCTTCTGGCTAGCTTGCACCAATTCGTTTCATTGAATCAGTTTATTGAAGTTATATGATGTTATGCTCGACCAAAATTATGATGAGTTTCCGAGAGTTTTTGCCGACTACTTTTTTCATTTAATTCAAACATTTGACTTCATATTTTTTTTTTATTTACGGAGATGAGGAGCACACTATTTGTCTCAATCGTCAAGTTGTAATAACGAAATCTATCTTGAGGCGTCCTTGACAGTCTCACAGCCTTTTGACGTCCTCTCAAGTGTACTAACAGTAATGAAAAACTTGGAACGGATTTATTTTATCATCTGTGCTTTGCTTGGCGTGTGGGGAAGGATTAAATCTCAAAAAAAAATCTTTCCCATTAATTTTATTTTATCTTGAAAACTATTCCATAGATTTTGTAGCGCAGTTGGACTATCTAGGGCCCCAGGCTGACAAAAAGCGGTCTAGTTGTTCCGAATTTTGTAACGAAATTAATGGAATATTTGTGCTCAGATGGTTTTTTTCTTCAGATAATTTTCGACTTTTTAATCAGCCATTTTTGACATTTTTTTAATATCATTCGAAAGCTATTATTGCTTTGAGCTTGAATGATGAAAAATATTTCACCCGTGATCGTTTTTTTGTAAAGTTATGGGAGTTTAAAGATTTGACTGGCCAGGGGCGGATCTAGAATTGTCTCGAGGGGGGGCAGAATTCAAAAAAATTTCGAAAATTTTGTCGACCTTTTTTTTAGATCGACCGAATTAATTTTTCGAGCTCTCCCTAAGCACGTTTTAGTCAAAATTTTCTGCGCCGCAGGCAAAATTTTGAAAAAACAGTCCAAAAAAGGCGTTTTTAGGCACTTTTTGGAAAATTTTGACCAAAAATTCGCGTTTTTCCGGCGCGCTCCCCACCTCAAAGTTACTATATATTGGCGCCAAAGGCGCCTTTACAAAAATTATATGGTCGGGCCAAAAATGGATTTCTTAAAAAGGTGACCCTTTGGGTCGGCACAGTGTTGAATACTTGAAAAAGGGGCGTCCGCCCCGCCCCCGCCCCGCCCCTAAATCCGCCTCTGGATTTGGCCATTTTGAGACAATAAACGCGCTATTAACGCGTGAGCGGATATTTAATCCGTCGTAAAAATTTTTTCAAGTTGGTTTAAGGAAACTTATTTACCATTTTTGATTTTTTACTATGAGCAAAGTCTATCACTTTGTATTGTAATGGCGTGTGGGGAGATATTTTTCAAAAACCTCATTTAAATTTTTTTTCTTCATTTTTTGCATTTAATTTTACTACTGCTCCATAGACTACTGCTCCATTTCATGTTGCTACTGCTCCATAGATCTTAAAAAACAGTCGAAACATCCACGGTTTTGCCTGATACGATCAGTCAGGTTGGTTTTAGTGTTTAAGTTTTCTTTGAACGCGTAGTTTGTGCGGCAAATTAAACCCTTTCGGTTTAAATCAGCCTAATCAATTGTTACATGAAACTTGTAGATACTTATGATTCCGACGTTTAAAAAAATTGAAATTTTTATGCTCGGTGTGGTTTTTTTCTTTTCAGTCAACTTTCGGCAACCAAAATCACCGTTCTTAACAAAAAGTTTACATACCCCATTGAAGATATCGAGTCCTTGAAATCACATAAAAAAGTTCTGTGAGTTTGAAACTGCCGATTTGGCCGTGCTCTGGACTCATATGTGATCGCAACGTCTATACATAAATTTTAAAAGCTTAACGCGAATTTTTTTGCGTGGCTAACTAATACGCACAACAAAATTGCTCAAATTCAATTGAGGCTATAGCTAATCGATCGAATTAATTTGATTTGACTCAAATTTTCATTCTTCAGACAAACTTCGACTGTTTATTTAGCCATTTTTGACAAAAGTTTTTAAAATATTTTGAAAGGTATTGTTGTCTTGAGCCTAAATTTGAAAATAGTTTTTACCTGTGATCATTTTTCGTAAAGCTAAGGGTGTTTATAGATTGTCCTTTTGGCGGATTTGGACAATTAACGCGCGATATATTTCGAGCTATTAACGCGTGAGCAGAGACTTAATCCTTTTTGGAAATCGTTTCAAACTGGTTCAAAGAAGATTATATGCCATAATTGGTTTGTTAAAAGGAGCTAAATCTACCTCTTAGTACTTAATATGGCGTGCGAGTAATGTTTTTTTTTGGAAAAAATCTCAAAGTATAAAAATATGATTTATTTCTTTCACATATAAATTTTTCATGTTATTACTGCTTCATTGGTCTTAAAAGGCAGTCGAAACATTCAAGGCTTCGCCATGATACAAGCAGTCTTTTTTTCACTAGATAAAGAAAGATCAATTTCGTCCCCGTGTTGACCAAAAATGTTTCTCATACAGTTTTCATATATGAAATAATGCTTATCATACAATTTTGTACAATTCCATAGATATAGAAAATGTCAAGTAAACTGTAACATAAGCCTTTTTTCATATATCGAAGTTGTAGGATAATTTTTTTCTTCATAAATCATTCAGTCGATTCTTTTTAAATTTTATTTCTCTAAATTTTTCGGATGTATTCGTGACCAAACACAAGTGACTAAAATTTGGTTTACTCAAAACTAGAATCACTAAAAGGTTGATCGTCTGGCATTTACAATGCATTGGAAATGATTCACAAATTTTATACTGAAAGCATCAAACTTTAAGATTTTGGCGAAAATTTTTAAAGATGATTGTTTAAGAAAATTTTTAAATTATTAGACATTAATCAAGGTATATAAAAACTGGGAATACAAGGAAAATAACTGGGAATAAAATCAAGGAAATTAAAAACAAAATAGGATTTTTCATGCCTGTTTGAAAATATTTATTCAGAGAAACGGAAAAAAGAATCCAATTTTTGTGTATCCAGGACTACGTTATACAGACAAAAAATTAAAGTTTGCATTCAAAATTTATTTGCGGTTGAAAAAAAAACAAAAAAAAATGGGGCAATTTCAATATTATTTGTAAAATTTTTGTTGCCGCCTGGACACAGTTTTTTTCATCACTAGACTGTTATACTGTTCAAATAGCAGCAAAAACTAATTCATTTTTTTTTCAATGAGTTTTTGAAATTGCATGAAAATTGTTTGATTAGCATTTTTCTAAACATTTGATGTATGGAATTGTAAGATAAGCATTTTCGGTGTATGCAATTGTAAGATAAGCAATTTTGGTTTATGGAGTTCAACCCTGGTACTTTTGAAAGGCAGACGGATATATAGTTGCAATTAAGGGCAGAAGGATCATGCAGAATTTTGTTCTGATATGAGAAAATCTGTTTGAGCTTGGTATCTATTCAAGACTTGTATCTATTCAAAATTAATTTTTAAAAAGGAAACGAATTTTTTTGGGAATCACAATGGATATTGGTTGAAAAAAAAATTAAATAAAAAGTCATTCTGTTCTTATTTTATAACTTTGTTTCTCGATAGGTCACATAATTTCTTACCCATTAACAGGACTCGGTTTATCCTCTGTGTGGTACCATGCCTTGTTGTAGCTGCCCAACGCTATATATGGCACGTAAAACTTTTTTCCACCCTCTTTAATGTAATTCGACCAATTATCGTAACTCAATTGTGATTCACGTGGATACCGTTCGATAAAAACTAAAACAGAGAAGGTACTTCGTTTAGAGGGGTCCCTAAAAAACTGAAAGTTAATTAATGGCTTTAAGTATCCGATAAATCTCCCGACAAAATATCATATATCGAGCTTTTTTTCAAGATATCGTAGGATTTTATTTGCCATCTCCTTAAGAGACCATTTCGGTTGAGGGACATTTTAACAGGGGACCCATGTTCAATAACATTAGGCATCGATTTTTTACATCTTTACTTTAGGGACCCGTCTCTTAAGTTCATATCACACCTGTAAAAGTAATCAAGAGAAAGGTAAGAGGGATCAGGAATCGACATAATCGTTTCGATAGTTGGTTTTGGCAAAACATGTTGTAATTCGTATGGCTTTTGTAGATTCAAAATGAAACTGCAATATATAAGTTCTTTGACGGAGAGAAAATCGCCAAGTTCAAATAACTATCGATTGTATGTCTAAATATTTGTTAGGTAACGTTGTGGCAGTAACAATTGTATAAAACTACATATTGAGAGTGGAGAGTCAATAATTTCACGAGATACTGAACAAACACTAGTCCAACATGCAAACATTTTTTTCTGGTGGGCTGAGATTCCTACAAAATGAAGTTTTAAAATAAGTGTTTAAATGTATAGGCCGTTTCCCAAAAAAATTATGTTTAGTTTTTAAATTTTTTTTTTTAAAAAAAAGGAAATCAATCACGATTTTCAGGTCAAGCGTCTAGACAAAAAATCTTTGAGTTATCACTTCATTCTTCGGTTTCACTTACGGTCCGAAAAATGCCTTTTTCAGTCTACAATATCAATCGCTTTGTGAGTTTTTTATCCAAATTTTATATAATTATTGGCAAAAGTGTTGTGCAGAACGAAGAGCGAACTGACTCTTTGAATTAAAATGGGGCTTATAACGATTTAAGTCTGCGACGCAGTTTTTTTTCTGGCGACAAATGACGACAACTCCTAGACGTGGTTTTAAACAGCATTTCTATACACGGTATCCGACCCCTTTGTACTATTTTGGGATATCCACTTTTGGATGACTGCCCTTAAAATTGTTCTAAGGGCGCCTTCGGCGCCATTATATACTAATTTTGAGGGGGGAGCGCGCGCCAAAAAAAACGCGATTTTTTGGTCGAAATTTTCCAAAAACCGCCCAAAAATGCTTTTTTGGCCTGTTTTTTGAAAAATTTGCCTGCGGCGCAGAAAATTTGGTCAAATTAGCCTCTTTATACTGGTTTGGGAGAGCTCAAAATATTAATTTTGTGGGCCTAAAAAAAGGTGGACAAAATTTTCAAAAGCTTTTAGAAAATCCCCCCCCCCCCCCTCGAGAAATTCCTAGATCTGCGCCTGTCTATACACCCAATGTTCTGTGGCCCCGAACCAAACAACTCCGCATATAGTTATGTAGCTTAACTTTTTACCACCAAATCATACTTAGAAAATATTTTTCAATAATTGAGTGGCCATGTGTCTGCCAGCAAACAAACGGCCATTTCTATATGCAGTGACGGCGACTGTATTAAATGTTTCGGAAAACAGTTATTACTGCATCAAACCGATCAAAGAGACAGAACTTCTGTGACGTTTACAGTCGAATAACATGGTCAAGATAATCGAGAACACGTCATAAACAGTTCTTCAATATTCTTTCAGATTCGATCGGATCACGGAAGATAAGAATGCATTATAGTATTACAACTAGGTCGTGGCAGGGTTCAAAAAGTGGTAAGATTATGATATACTTGCAAAAGTCAATGAAAGTTTTGATGAACATTAAGCTTTGGTTGGAGTTTCATTACGAGGCATAAGAAACAGCACACTTTATGAGTCTTAGTTTCTAGAATTGCGCCGAATAAATATTTACTCTCAAATAAATAAAGATAGGCCTGTTCAAGCCTTGCTGTAAGAAGAAATTCACCTTATACAGAAGAACTAGCTGCCCCAACTAGATATTTGCTACACATATAATGCATATATGAAAATCATCAACAAAACTTTTTGTTGGATCATTTTTGTCGGACGGTATGAAGAACAGAGAGCGACGAGGAAGGTGTTACATCTCATTCCGTCAATCGGAAAATCGGATGCTCGAGGTGCACCATGATCCGCGCTCGTTGCGTAAGGGTGAGGCAACATATTTGAGAAAAGTGCAGAATATTGAGAAAAAGGCTCAAAATGGTTATCTTCAGGGCGGATTTGAGGAGGGGGGCATACGCTCTTCCCCCTTCAGGGATTTGACCCCCTGCCGACCCAAAGGGTCCCCCCTTTGGTACTTTTGAGGAAATGCATTTTTTGTGAAGAAACCTCAAATTTTGGTAAAAAGGCGCCTTTGGCGCCAATATATACTTACTTTGAGGGGAGCTCGCGCCAAAAAAACGCGATTTTTTTGTCAACATTTTCCGGCTTTTTTGACCTGTTTCTTTTAAAAACGTGCCTGCAGGGCTACAAGGGGTGAATCTAGGAATTTTTTGTGGGAGGATTTTTATTATGGGTCGTCCAACTTAGTTTTCGACTAAGCACCGCCTCCCCCTCTCTCTGAATTTACTCCTGCGCATACTCCACCGCTGTTGATTGGACAAAAAGTTAGTATTCATATTTCAACCTATTGCTTTTCTGCACCATCCACCCCCGCCCCATTCCACCCCCTGTGGTAAGAAGTTTTGAATAAGATTTGAAATTTAAACGACACGACTAGAAAAAATAAAAAGAATAGCCAAACTTCTCAACTGAAGTGGAAGTAGCTTGGTAGTCAGCTTTGAATGGATGTTATTTAGAATTTAAATAGCAGCACAAACAGAGAGAAATCAAATATTAATTTAAAAGCGGAAAATCAATATGACAACAGAGAAAGTTTCAAGTGATCATATATCGAGCCAAATAAGTGTCATCTCATCGTCATAAATATGCCACAGAAATTTTGATTTGAATCAAACAATGTTCGCTAGGAAGCTTAGAAAACATTGCTGTACACATATATTTCATGTTTCTTACTCGTTGAATAATTGATCGTAGTTTTAAATTAGAGTTTCAGCTAAACTAACAAAAATCAAGTGGTCATCAATTTTTTTTAATCTGAATTGATGAGTGGCATGTGATCCCCCATGTTATGGCAGCATGCACAATTGAACTTCAAGATATGTCCATCTCTAGTAGCGAATTAAGGGGGAGGGGCAGACCTCATCGCCAACCAAAAGGTCCCACTTTTTTACGACCTTCTTTTGGCTAACTAGCGCTGAATAATTTATAAAGAAGTTCGGCGCCATTAAAAAAAGGCCAAAGACGGAATTTATAGTGATTTGGGAGAACTCGTAGAATCAGTTTGGTCGATGTATCAAAAAATCTCGACAAATATTTCAGATACTTTTCAATTTTTCTAATTTTTCATGATGTTTTTTACGAATGTGCAAGTGGCTATTCACTAAAGCTAGATTGAATAGCGCGCAATTCAAATGTTCGGCCAAAAACTTAAGTATAGAACAATTTTAACGAAATTCCTTGCACCCTTTGAAACATATTGTTGTCCTTTGATCAAAATTAAAATTATTTTCCACATTTGATCAATTTATGAGGTTTAAGAATTGCTTATTGTTCCGACTTTCGATACGAAAGTAACGGAATATTTGTGCTCGGGGTGGGTTTTTTTTTTCTTCAGACAAATTTCGACTTTTTAACTAGCCATTTTTGACGGAATTTTTTTTATCATTCAAAAGGTATTGTTGTCCTGAGCTTAAATCTGAAAAGATATTTCACCTGTGATCATTTTTTGTAAAGCTATGAGGGTATAAAGATTGCCACTTTGGCCATTTTGACTAATTTGGGTTAATTAACGCGCGATATAGTTCGCGCTATTAACGCGTAAGCGGAGATTTAATCCGTCTTATAAATCGTTCCAAATTGGTTGAACGAAGCTTATTTTCCATAATTGATTTGTTACAAGGAACGAAATCTCTCTTTTTGTACTTTATATGGCGTGTGGGGGATGATTTTCATAAAAAAATTCAAATTTAAGAAGAAAAAAAAAATTTCATTTTATTTTATTTCATTTAATTTTTTGTATTATTACGGCTGCTCCATAAACCTTAAAAGGCAGTCGAAACATTCAGGGCTTCGTCCTGATAGGAGCAGTCTTGTTTGATCAAAGTTTGAAATCAACGCGAGATATTTTGCGTTCTTATAACGCGGGTGAGCCGGAAACTGAATTATTCCAAATTAAAATGAGGTCAGCAATTTGGTCTTATTGATATGTTACTAAACGCTAACAAGACTGCTCGTATCAGGGCGAAGCTCTAAACTGAATGTTCCGTTTGCCTATTTAGGTTTATGGAGCAGTAATAACATTAAAAAATAAAAAATAATAAAACAAAAGGAATTTTTTTTCTAAAATTTGAATTTTTTAATGAAAATCATCATCCCACACGCCATATAAAGTACAAAAGGATAGATTTTGCTACTTGTAACAAATCATTTATTGCAAATAAGCTTCGTTAAACCAATTTGGAACGATTTCTAAGACGGATTAAATCTCGCTTACGCCTTAATAGCGCAAAATATATCGCGGGTTAATTGTCCCAAATTGGCCAAAGTGGCAACCTTTAAACACACAAAACTTCACAAAAAATGATCACAGGTGAAATATCTTTTAAAATTTGAGCTCAGGACAACAATACCCTTCGAATGATATTAAAAAAATTCCGTCAAAAATGGTTAGTTAAAAAGTCGAAATTTGTCTGAAGAAAAAAAAACCCACCCCGAGCACAAATATTCCGTTACTTTCGTATCGAAAGTCAGAACAAAAACATTCCTTTCTACTTAGCATAGCCAGTTGCGGGAGACCACGAAAATAAAAAAAAAACTTAAATTATTTTTTTCCGATATTTTATTAACTTTTTCAAATTGTTGTTTCTTCTTTTTTTGAACTTCAACTCATTCACTAAATATTTTTTTTTTTCACTACGATAAATTTTATAATGGAAAAATAAAAACTATTTGACCAGCGATAATTTTTGTAAAGTTACTGTTGTTCAAAATTTAACTATTTGACCAACTTGTGACCAATACGGCGCAATACCTTTCATGCGCTTTGCGAAATTTTCAAAAACAGAGAAAAAAAGAGGCCAGCTATTGAGTAGTTATGAAACAACCAATGGTTCGTGAAACTTTTAAAAAAAGAAAACCCTGGGCCAGGTGTCGATGGTTATAATACGTGCTACACGCTGATTTCATTCGTTAAAATTATAGTTTAAATTAGAAGATGGCTTTTTCAATAGAATGTCATCAATGTAATTAAATGCAAGAAAAAATAAATTTTACAGAATTAATAAGCAATCGGATTAAAAATAACTTCACCTGTATACAATCAATCATCATGCTCCAAATTTAAATATTAGTATCTTACGTCAATAAGGCTGTAACTATGTACCCTATTCTTGTTATTTGAGTTTTTCTATTGAAAAAAAAACTTTCAATTTTTTTTTCACTTATTTAACATGCTTGCCAGTTCTTGATGCTTTTTTCGCATTAGTTAGAGAATTTTTGATTTACAACCGTAATTCCGATTAATTTTTGTCAAACATTTTATGTCCACTTGAACAGTCTTATTTTTTCCTATATAATTCCAAATGAAAATCATAAAAAGACTCAAAAATTATTGAAAGTTTTAGCAGTTCCAATAAATCCAACATAAGCCACAAAATTTTGAATCAAGGGCTCAATTAAAATTGAGTGTAGTTTTTGGTAAAATTTTATGAGCAAACTGGCGGCCCAATTTTTTTTTCAATTAATTGTTATAAAATGTGCCCACGCCTCACAAAAGAGTTTCACGATAATGAGGTACTGCAAAAAAAATTTACGATATAAAATTTTATTAAAACTTCAGGAAATTTAATTATTTCCAGTCTGAAATTCTCAATAAAGTTAAAAAAGAAAAAATCAAGAAAGAGTTGCGTATTCCAATGATCAAAAAGGTTAGAATAACGACAATCTAGATCAACTTACAAACTTTTTAAGGTTGTAAAAGTTTTTCCAAGACTGCAACTTCCTTTCTGAACTCTACAATAAGTTAAAAATTAGCGAATGTAAAAACACTGAGACGTTGATTCAATTGACTGAACATTTACGTCTTTCAAATCAAAATAAAGGTAAAATTCATCATCCAGGGATCCACTGACAAGGTTGTCAGTGGTTTTCACTGCAAACACGTGTGTAAAAAAACGTCAGTTCGGGCCAACCCACAGTTTTGAATATTATATATTTTAAATTCTACACTAAATTATGTCACAAAAAACTATTCTGCAATCCACAGAGACTTTCCTTCTCTTTTGGCAAATCCAAAAACAGATTTTTTCTATGTAATAATAGAACAATTTTGCCTAATTGAGATTTTTTGTGAACAAAAAGTATGATTTAGATTCGGTTTGGAAAAATATTTAGCAATAGCTTGCTCAAAGAAAAAGTGTCTCTACAAATGTAAAAACAATTCGGAGAAAAAACCAAATCTGTAATTCACAGAGCTCTTCAGTGTTTTCACTGAAATTTTCTTAAAATTTCTGATGAAGGAGTTTTTCTGGTAAAAGTTTACCACCTATGTTTAAACTGTTAGGTGTTTTTGTAAATTGTTATGACTTAAACTAAGCTTGAAGAAACTTTTACTGATAGTTCAAAAAGAAAACAAAAAACTAGTCAGTCTAATTTTTACAAAAAGGCTTGTCTGCAAATAACATCAAGTAAATTTGTCTGGGAAGCATAAATTACTTCCGCTCATTTCTATCATATGTTTCGATAAGGTTTCAATTGTGAACTTCAGAGCCCCTAGGCTTTTCTTGTGATTTCAGTATTGTTTTGTCATTTGGATAACTTAATTTTTTTTTACTTGTAAAAATAGAATTACACAAAATCGTTCCCCAAAAGCTCAGCGGTGGCTTACCAAAGCTAGAGTTTGAACTAAACGTCCTACTTTTTTGTATTATTATTTGGCACTTACGATCTTTACCGGGTCTAGTAAAATGTGAAATCTGAAGGAAGTCGCACTATACACCAAGTGGCTTCCCAAAGCTAGAAATTGGAACCAGATCTAAATTATAATTTATTATTGGTTATAATTAAGATATTTTATCCCTATAGAATATTAAAGACTAACCAATCACAGTCCATCAAACTAACAACCCACTTGTTTGTAAATGCTGAA